AGATTGTCACAAATTATTCCACTTTTCAAGAATACTCAGACGAGCCCAATGTACACACAGTTCCTGACTACGTTGCTGGAAGAACTGCATTTCAGAAATGAAGATCTGGAAAGTTTAACAAGAATATTTAGAAAGGACTGCCTGCTTGAATGGTCAGTCAATTTTAAGCTATTTTGCATGTCAGAAAACTAAGCCAGTTAACCATGGTTTTAATTTTCAGCATTTTATAAGTATGCACAGTAACTGCAGATCGTATCAGCCAGAGAGAAAATGTGTAAAGTACATTTTAAAGTAAAGAAGTACATAGGGTATGGAAATGAGTGTCATCATTTTGTCACTTACAGTAAATGCCAGCTGCTTACTTATCACTTTAATCTTTTGAGAATATATAGTTGGTTTATATATAGTTGGTGTACTGCAATTTTGGGAGGAATTTTTACTCAAGTTCTACTACAATTTATAAAAAAAATTTCTGTGTGGCTACAATGGCGAAGTCTCAGCGGGATTTTTTTTATTATTAATGTGAAATCGTTATGTTCAGTCTCTGTGATATAAAACTGAGCTAAAAGCCATGTGTGTTTTGCATAATACTGAGATTACATTTTGCATTCTGGGTAGGCTGAAAAATTTAAGAGCAAATACCTTATTTATGCTGATCATGTTCAACTGATTCCTTGAATATAGCATTATGGTATTTAATTAAGTAATTAGTGTATTAACATTACTGATGTCACTCCTTTGTTCCCAACAGACTAAGGTGATCATCTTAACATCTCCTACTATCTGAAATAGTGGCACAAAGAACAAAAGAACCCCTTCAATTGTTGGAACTTTTTTTTAAATGAAAAATGAAATTTAGTCTTAATTGTCCTTCTTGCACTTCTGCTTTTTCATTTCCTTCCTATGAATAAGAATTTTGAAGTCTCGTGGAGAAGCTGACTATAACAGCAGTTTTTCAAGGTATGCATGAAGACCAGTTAAAACATGGATCATCTGAAAACTGTTTATTTAAAAACAGTAGAAAGGAATTTGGATTGTTTTTGTTTTTTCTTGCTTTGGAAATTTTCAGCCAAAATTTGTCTACAGGAATTGGGGAAAGAGGGGGGGTGGGGGGGCGGAAAGCATATTAGCCTGCTGGAGCGTTAACAACACTGCTGCTGACATTTTTCCAGTTGACCCAATGCACGGAGCAGTAATCTTTAAGAATGATGACGACAGTACACAAAGATGTCTGATCTATAGCCTGTTTATCTTGATACTTCTAAGAAATGGTCTGTGACTAAGAAAAGGGGTGGTCTGTGAACTTATGTAAAAGTTATTTTTAAACAGCCTCTAATTGTTACTAATTCGGACTTTGAAATATATTTTAATAACTGAAAACTTAATTTTTGGCTTTCAGTCATTTCATTTAGAAGAGTTGTGTTGTTTAGACTGAGTGTGTTTAGACTTGCTTCTGTCAGTAACTGATTATAAAATGCAATTTAAAACTAATTCACTAGGCATTCTTAATGATTCCATAATATGGTGTATTGCATAGTTCTCAGTTCATAGGACACTGTCCTTTGAGAGACTTGAGAAGAAAGTTGTGACTGACAGTGCTTAGTCTGCAGCAAATGCTAGTACTAGTTAAGGCTGAAGCAAGGCTTACCAGGGCTGCTACATAGCAACTCCATTTAAAACCAGTTTATTCCTTTGTTTTATTTCTGTAATTGAACACCAAAAGAGAACTCTGCACTTAGTTTATTGCTGTGTAGTTCCTTCATGATAATCAGGATAAATATGTTGATTGCCGCTGACACACAGAAGCCCATGCAGCTTTTCCCTGGAAGTTTCATTGCGCGGTAGAGTTTATTTAGGCGATGCTTGACTTTTCCTAACTTACCTTGTAATGGGAAGTTATGTTCAGTATAACTTGTAAAAGCAACAATTTAGAATGAGGAAAACTTTTAATGCAGCGTTAAAGCTATGCATTTTTCTAAGTATGCAATAGGAAAAAGATACCCATCGTGATCAGAGCGTGTCTGATGTCAAATTCGTAAGAATGCATGATGTAATCTGGATAGAAGGTACATTGGTTTTGTACCATGATGGAAAACTTCTTACTTGATACATATGCAAAGAAGGGACAAGTCCTCACCAAAAGATAAGCTTATAGAAGACTGAGTAATAGGTATGATACTCTGAGCAAAACTTAAACCTTGAATTTATATCTATCTGCTTCTGATTTTGGAAGATAAATATATTTCTGTTTTTAGCTAGTACTTCACTGTAGATTCTGAGCAAGCCATTGTTCTGTTCCGTGTACGTTTACCTTGGGGCATAAAGATTACAACTACCCCATGACAATGCTGCTATACCGAGTACACCTAGAAGGCATTACAAATGTACATCATACCAGGAATATGACTGTTTCATCAGGTTCGACGGCTCTCATTTGGAAAGTTTTTACACTTCCTGTCAGTTTAGTGGTGTGATTTTTTTGTTAGTTATTTTTAGGCTTGGTCTTCAGCACTTACTGCGTAGGAAACGTATGATCTTGTAAGAAGAGTGAATAGGTCACAGGCCCAAAGACCTCTTTATCAGGGTTCACTGTAGCTGCTTTTACTGTCTGCCTTGGCAGCTCAAAAAAGTAAGCTTCCAGGAGTTTTGCATCTCCTCCTTGGCTGCTGTGTCGTAAGCTCACTCATTCTTTTCCTTGCCCTAAGAGAACAGAATAACCTTTCTCCTTCCATGACCACCTTCACCAGTCCAGAAGAAAGTCTTCTATAATATGCTGGAAATGCCCTGAAGGGATATTCTTCACTTACCTTTAATGATTTCATCTCCCTTAGATGTGAGTAAAACACATGTAAATAAATGCAGAAAGTATACATATACCCATTACTTTTGACTAGAAGAAAGGCCGTACACTCATCTCAAAAGGATCTTTCGTACTGTCAGCCTTAACTGGTTGCACAAAGAGCACAACTCAAGCACCAAAAATTAAGTTCATCTATGTAGTTTTCTTATGAGCATATTTGGTAACAGCTTAACTGCTTAGAAATGTTCAAATCTAGCCCTCATTTATGAGCTTAAAGCTAATTTGTGCCACAACTATCTGTCCTTTAACAGACTTTACTCTTTCTCAGCTCACTTCACCCCCCCGCCCCTTCTTGTTTTGGTTATGTTTGCAGGCAGATTGTTTCCTTGTGGCCTTCCTGCTGTGCTTACTGTTTTTCCTTCCTACGTTAGTTGAGCGGATGAGAACAGTTGACACTCGGTTCAGTGGTGGGTTTGAGCCTTATCTCAGATACGCTAAATTTTAGTGACTTACTTGTGAGCTGCAGGCGTGTAGGGACGTTATGGATCTGGGGCTTAGGGTGGATGGGACATAAGCCTCTTTCTGAACAGCTCTACGAAAGGGGCATGAGCTTGGTAAAGCCATCAGCTGCTTAGATCATCAGGATCATAAAGTCATAGAAGTCCCTTGCCGTGACCGTGTAAAGCATCCAAGCCTGTCTGGCAGTGGACCTGTGGCAGGGCAAATACGGTGTGAGGTGTTTCTTTTAATAGCAGGGGGGCAGGGGACGAAACCAGACTTCTACGGTGATTTTTTTTTTTTTCTGACGTATATAATGGATATAGTAAAGAATAGAACACTTTAGTTTAAAGCTTAAAGCAAAGCCTGCTTCATGCTGTTGCAGCTTCTCAGCATCAAAGGAGGAGTGTGTGACATATACCTGCATAGTGCAGAGAGGGGTTTCCTACTGAGTTTTCTATAGATGTAATGAAGTAATCTCAGGAAGAGAACAATGTTAATAAAACCACATATACAGAGAAAGTCAAATTGTTCGAAGTTACTCAGAGCAGTCTTTGTGCTGGCCAAAGAGGATGGAGAAAAAACTTTTGTGTCTATTTTCACACCAAAGTTCAATTCACAGTCCTGTAAATACTGTCAGTGTAAGTACTGCACTTTGTAATACTGAATTTCCTAGTGCAGAGCCCTTCTCTGCTGCTGTTTGATTCTTTGTGCCCATTGACCAAGCTTGCTGATTTTTCTTGGGTTTCAGAGGGAAGAAGGGGATTCAGAGTGGTTTGCTTGATAGTCACTATTTCAGGAAAGTGGGCAAGTCATAATGTAACCTGTAAATTATCAGGTATTCAAAGAGATTGCCCTGCATCTTTGTAAAGTTTGCAAATCATGTTATGCTTATATATGGTATTGCAAAATTCTACATTAAAACAAGCAGAAGAGAGCTTGATTTATCTCATTGAAGACTATCAAGACAAAAAAGTACCTTAGTAAATCTAGAGCAGCATAACTGCCATAGCTGTGCTGCTGTCTAAACCCAGGACTGGAAAGTTATATCTACCCTGTCTTTAAAGAGTGATGCAGGGAACAACAAAGAGCATGGTACATACATGAGATACATCTGGGGCCTCAAAGGCTGTGTCCACGCAACACATAGAAGATTCACCTGTATTTTCACTCTTCAGTCGCAGTGAGTAGTTTAAAAGTGAGGCATTTGTGGTGGTTTTGGGGGGGAAATAACGGTCCTGTGAATCTTGGTGTTGAACCTGCATGTCCTACCCTTCTCTCCCTAGTTTGACAGAATCTGGACTCTACAAAATGCAAGAGGGCATGAGCAGCTCAGCTGGACAGTAAGTCTCAGCTGGCCTTTAACTGCTGGAGAGAAAGGGACTAACACATCAAAGAGAAGAAAAAGGAAGAGAGAACGGGAAAGCAGTGTTCACACCTTCTATATTTAGGCATCCCAGCTTAGGTACCTGCCTGTCTCCATTTACTTCAGAGAGAACCGATGGTCTTAAATTTAGGTTCTCCAAATCATACCTTAGTGCAGCGTATGAAGTGGGTGGTGGTAATGCCTCTGTCCCTGTTCCCTGGTGGCAGAAAGAAAGCAGAAAAGTCAGCTGAGAACTTTGACCATAGCAGACTGGCTCTCCCTGGAGTAATTTATTTAGTAATAAAGGGTGGCACAAAACTGAATGGGGACCTGCCCTTGCAAAGTGGGAAGTTTCTGAGCAATCTGATCCTATTGTTCCGTTATTTTGATGGCTACTACTTCACACAGAATTTTTTCTTAACCTGTAAGAGTTAAAACCAAAAGAATTAAAGTGAGTGGCAGTCTTCAGGAAAAAAAATAATACCCATCTATTGAAAGTATGTCCAGGAGGTTACACACTAGCTCTACAATTTGCCTCTAAGCTTTCCATGCTTACTGTTTATTTCTGCAGTTGCTTACGAACATCCAGTACTGTGGGTGGGGTTTAGCTTGTTCTCACTGGGGTAGCAGGTAACGCTGAACTGTCATTTCCAATGAGCATTAAATATTGAAAACACAGAATCAGCCTCTCTTTGGCAAGTCTTGAGTTTCCATAAGCAGCAGATGGTATACAAGGCAGGGCTAGGCACCTATAAAGACCTCTGTTTCTCAGCTGCATATCTCTACCACCTGACAGCCAGTCGTCCTCTGATTAGAGTCAGAGGAAGTGGGTGTGCCTTCCATTAGCAAAGACAGAAAGTAATATTGCTAGAGACTTTTCCTCTTGTGAGCTTTCTTGTTGTGACTCTTCATCTTAGAACCACTTCTCTGCACAGACTGCAGACAGTGCTTTGGGAGACGGGCTGCCTGAAAGACACTGTAGAACGTGAACTGTGGCATTTGTGGTGCTAAACAGGATTTGGTGAGGCGGGGGGAGAGAGCTGGAAACCTGTGTCTTCAAGTAGCTTTCATTTGAGCGCTCTGGTTTCAAAAAGCAAGTGAAAGCATACGTTGCCTCAGTGGCTGCTCTGGACATGTGTGATAAACGTTAGTCATTCCCCCTCAGTTGCTTGCAGCTGTAGAGCAAGAAGCAAGGCAAACTGGAGTTCTGAAAAAATAGACGAGACTAGCCAAAAAGAGCAATAATTAGCAAGAAGAAAGGTGAGAAACAAGCCCAAGCCTTCTTAACCTGTTCTTGCCCTGGAGAGTGGGCAATATTGTGAGATACCTTTTGGGCATCCTCCTCAAAATAGTCTCCTCAGTACAGCATCACGTTTGGGGCAGCATTAACAGTAGTGGCAGGGCTGGAAAGACCAGGAACAAAGGCCACCAACTTCCTGACCAGTGTTTCTGAGATCTGTGAGCCAGGTTTATCTTCCCACTGACTCTGCCACCATAGTTGAATGTGCAGGCTTAAGTCCTAGACTTGGGAAGGCTTATCAATCAGAATAATGCAGTAAGTGTGGCCCCTGTAACACTTCAGATGTCCACCTCTGTTGGTTTTACTGTGCTATCCTGCAGTTACCCCAAGACGACAGCTCCCTAATGAGTCCCTTCTCCAAGAACGAATAGAGCTGACACATTGGTGATCATAAGGCTGTTGCATCTCACCGCTATGAAAACTCCCCCCTTAGAAGTCAGTCCCCAGAATGCTTTGGTAGCCTATACTTTAATGGCAAAGTCTTTAGTACGTTTTTGCACGCTGTGATTACCTGCCGGAGCTGCATGCAAAGATCAGAGAACAAAGCCCATGGGGCTACTGACCTGTGTACATGCTGCATCATTGCAAGCCACATCAAATCAATGCCATTTCTGGCACTTTCTAGCCCCTTAAATTTCATAGGGTATGTAACTGAATTGAACACATAGTGGGACAGCAGCAGCTTCCCGGGGAGTCCTACAATTTGGGTAGAATTAGTCATCACTACAGAGAGTTTGAAGGACTCTGGATACAGCTTTAATAAGCTGCAAACACTCAGATCAGGATTTGTATCATAAATCTTGCCTTTCTGTTCTATTCAAATGGGAGTGTCTACAAATCAGGTTAATATAATTTAACAGTACAGTAGTTAAGTAACAAAAAAGATCATAATCGGTAGTGTTATCTAAGAAGCCAGAACAACCCTGCTTACAGCTGCCAGCTAAGATCTGACTCATCTAAGGTATTTTATAGCAACCATATGTTAGGCACGTCTATCTCACCTATTATGCAAAAAAATGATAACGTTTCCTAATCAGGATTTGCCACTGAGCAGGATTTTCCGTAAACATCCCAGTATTGCAAGCGCTATCCACAGTCAGGAGAAAGCCTTTTGCAGACACTTCCGATTTGTTAATTTGACAAATAGAATAAATGGCTACAAATCTGTGGCTAGTACTGATTCAGCAAGGCTGGCTGTAGTTTAAAGTATAGGTATGTTACTTTGGCAGTTGACATGTTAAAACATCACTTAGGAATTCTGTGTTAGAAGGTAACGTCAGTATACTGCACTTCCTGTGCAAAACCCCCTGGGTGTTTTAAATTGAAGACATGGTCTCGAAGCAGGAACGACCATGTGATACATTAAAAATACTTCACTGAGACAGTGCAAGCAAAGTTGTATTTAGTAATTTCCCCCCCCAGCCAGAAAAGAGAGGGTGAATTCATATCAGTACGGGAGAGAAAGATTAAAAAGTAAGTTTGAAAATATTAAGGTCTTTTGATAACAATGCAGTTGGTTAAGCTAGAATAATCATTGCATTTTAACAAAGGCAGACACCTCTGCAAACCCCCTTAGCTGTTGCTTTTCGAGCAAGTTTTACATCCAGTTCACTTTTACTCAGAAACCTGCCTAAGCCTACACCCCTCTGCAATCTGACTTCAGTCCTTCTTGCACAAAGACTGGTTAAATGTCCGTCAGCCTTAACTGTTCCTAGGCTCTTGCTGCTCTTGCTCTACTTGTATCCAAGTAGTCTAAAGGAGTAAAATGGGGGGGTGAAGCCGCAGTCCCGACGCTCCCTTCTGTTCTCAAATGGGCATTAGTTTTACTGCTTAAAGCTCCAATGACAAAGCTCCTGTTGATGCAAATGAGAGCAAACTGTTGTCTTGGTAATTATATACCTTCTTCAGCAATCACAATCTCTCATTTTTTGAAGAGAAGCCCTTCACTTAAAAGCTTTTTTGAATACATTCTTTTTTTCTGAACTGTGGGCTCTCACTAAATAAAAAAAAAAAAAGCAAAGTAGATGTTTTTGCTGCTTAAAATCCTTGGCTTATTTTAAAATTTCACAACTAGAAATGTAGTTAAAGTGTTTCTTCCTTATTAAGATAATTTCTCCAGACGGCATTTGAAAACTTGGAAAATAAGTGATTTTTACAGATACTACATCAGCCCTCAGCAGCTCTGGGTCAAATACATGTCATCTCCACTAACTATTCATTTCTAAGATCCTCCCAAGCTCTGCTTTTTTGTACACTGAACATCTGATGCTTCTTGTTTTTCTTCTATAACCACAGATGTGCCCTCTTCAAAAAACTCACATTCTCAAAATACTAAACTGACAAGCTGAGTGTCAAACCACACACCCCAAGCAGCAAGCAGTGCTGAAGAAAAACAGAATCACGCTGGAAGAAAAACAGAAGAAATCACACAAATTGTTTCCAAAGAATGAATCTGAAATGTTCTCAACTCGGTGCAGGCATTGTTTCTTAAGAATGCAAATGCCATTTGATGCTTTTAGTTTTTATGCTCACTTACTGTATAAGCAGAGGCTGCTCTCAGAAAGAAGAGATTAATTTGAACAACGCTTTATATTTTCTTGTTAAGATGAGTTTTATCTCTCTGAGCTAAACTGGAGCCTTGCTATGAGACCAAGATGGGTCTCCTTGTTTGTCAAAAAGCAGCACGGGTGTTCCTGTGCTAGCTGAGTTACACACTAGGGTAAGCGAGGCCTCTTCACTGGGATCGTGTGGTTTGTGTGCGCCACGGAGCCTCTCTGCATCAGAGCCCCCGTGTGTTGCTCGCTGAGAGCGCACCGGAGAGCTGGACAGGAGCCGAGCAAAGCTCTCGTCGTGAGCAAGCAGGCCCACAGCTACCGGTTTGCTGTAACAGGTCCCTACGTTACAGAAGGCTATTTGAGCACAGGGGAGTGAAGTGATTTGTCCAGGTCTTTCCGGGCAGGCTATAGCAGGACCCACAGCTCTTTCAGCTGTAGTGCCTATCTGCAAGCCATCCCTCCTCCCGCTGCAGGGGCTGATGTGAGACAAGATTTGGTCCACAATGCTCTAGTGCTAAGGTGCCAAATAGTTATCGTTCGGCTTGGCAGTAATGCTATGAGTCATCTAAAAGGCCTCATGATACTGTCCTGCAAAGAATGA